CTCTCTCTCTCTCTGTGTGTGTGTGTGTGTGTGTGTGTGTGTGTGTGTGTGTGTGTGTGTGTGTGTGTGTGTGTGTGTGTGTGTGTGTGTGTGGATCCCTCACCCACATGTGCTCTGTGCGGGAGCGTGCTTGCGTTTAGTGTGCAGGGGGTAAACGCAGGCCGACTGCCACTGAGAGTAGGCGCTCCTGCGCGATCCCCTGAGATAGGCCTCCAACCTCCTGTAAGTCCTTTCCCGCCTACCTTCCGCTCCGCACAAGCTCGATCGCCCCAAGCTATGACGAGCGACAACATGCCCTTCGATCCGTCCATCTACTGCTTTCGTACGGGTATCGGGGGGCCAAGAGGCAGCAGAGAGAAGCGGGATGGCAGAAACGCAAGCGATGGAATGGAAGCGGAGAGTACAAAATTCCCTTACGAACGAATCTGGCTGCACTGCCGACCAGATTCATTCTTTCTTCGTATGCGTAATCTCTCATTATGTGCGCGATCCTTCATTCTCTCACTTCTTTGTCAATCAGTGCCTTTCTCTGCTACGCAGTTCTTCTTACTCCTGCGCGCATTACTGCATCGTGCACGCTCCAAAGTATCTCTCTTGGGCTGTGTTGTTGGATGGGGAAAAAGATGTTTCGCCTTGTAGGCTGGTAGGAGCTCAAGGCTTATGCTTTGCTAAAGTCCGTACAGGAGACTCAGTGAACACCCCCGGTACGCCCACCCGCCTTGATCCGATTTCAATCAGGGTGCTTTGAGCACTGATTGGTCTTCCCGTGCGTAGATTAGTTCATTGAGTTAGTTCATTGAGTGAATTCTTCATGCCCGGTTCGCGTGTTGATTGGGCGTCCCCCCGTTCGTGCGCCTATGAGGGCTTCCCATTGCCCTGGTCGGGTCCCCTCAAAGCAGTGACCTCCTGGGCCTAAAGTCCCGGTTCGTGTCCCACACCAAACCCTCCTCCAAGGCCACGTCCCGTCCGAACCTACACCAACCTCCCTTGTGCGATTTTGAGCTAGCACCCTTAGTGTGCCCGCTCCTGCACGTTCTCTGCTCCAGTCCGAAAGTCCCCCCCGTTCTCGACCCTCGAGCACTTGAGAGCTGGCCCACCTCCTCCCGAACCTAGGCCCGGGCCCATTTGGGCCCCGAAAGGTTTCGTTGCGAAGAGGGCCTTTTTGTCGGGTACCGGGCCTTTTGCAGCGCCCTGGTACCGGGGCTCTTTCCGAGCCTAAGCCCGAGCCTGTTCAGGCTCTAGCGGTTCCACGTGAAAAGTATCAAGGCCTCAACAATTCTCGCGGGCCCGGCCTTGGAAATGAACTCATGGTCTGAGGGCCCCTTTCCCAGCCTTAGGCTTTGCGGCCCCATTTTGGTTCCAACCACGATTAGGATGCCGAGGCCTCAAGCGCACCCGCGTAAAGTTTTCTCTCTTCCCTGATCCCACGGCGAGCCTCAAGTGTCATCGCCCTATAGCCTGCCTTAAGCCTTGTCCTAAGAGCTCCGCGTTATCTTTTGCCGGACACATCACCCTGCCCTCGAGCGGTTTCGGTCACCTCGCCCGTGTCCTCTATCTGGAACCTTAGGCATTTCCTCTGTTGTTGTCAACTTTGATGTCTTGTTAGCGGTGACCCGCATGAGGCCCATAGAAGAAAGCTCACTTGGAGTTTGCGGGCCCACCTCTCCTGACGTCTCGGCCTTAGCACTTGCAGCGTGGATCTCGTATTACAGTTCTTCGACGTTGACCGCGGTTGCATCAGGAAAAATAGCTAGATCTGTCTCTCACCAGGTGTCATCATCAAGGAAGCAAAGGGCAGCGAAAGGCTTGAGCCGCACAACACCGTGTGGGATGTACATATGCCACAATGTGTGTGTGTGAGAGAGTTCCAGAAGAATTTGGACTCCAACATCCCTGAAGCCGGTAAAGAAAAGACCCGAGCAAATAATTGCAATTATAATTAAATAACATAAAATAAAACACACAACAAAATCGTAAAATCATCACATCCGCCAAGGGTTCGTTGCACACCAGCCATACATAGGCAGACACGTAAGCACACACCCTCGCACGTGCACACACATGTGCCCTGCCGTGCGCAGAAGTGTGCTTACGTGTCTGCCTTTGTGTGTGTGTGTGTGTGTGTGTGTGTGTGTGTGTGTCTTTTTGAGTGTGAGAGAGAGAGAGAGAGGGAGGGAGGGAGAGAGAGAGAGAGAGAGACACAAACATGGCGAATTGTATCTTCGACATCCCGAAACCGGTACGGAAAACAACCCGTGCGACTATTTAAAACGATAAATACAAAAATTCACATAAAAAACACTAAAAATTCGAACACGATGCCTCACATCCGCCAAGGGTTCGGTCTAGGACCGCCGTGCACAAGACTGTGATGCAACACGTGTCTGATCAGGCTCTCCCTCAACTCCTTGCCAAGCTCTAGAGCCTCTGGAGGAGGAGGATGCCGTATGGCTCGTGCATACCTCACACGTCGCCACCGATGACAGCTAACCGCGTCTGGACTGTCACTGTCACTCTCGTTAGATAGTGCATTGGGGTCAACCTCAACCCTGGAATTGATCACGGTATTGTGGAGGATGCAGATGGCAAAAAACTCTTTCCGGAGTGTACGCATGTTGCAAATCTGCCTCCTGATGAAATGCCGCCACATGGCCTTCAATCTACCGAAAGTTTGCTCGATGCACGACCTTGCCGACGTGTGGCAATCGTCGTAACCTGCTCCACAGGTGTACTACTTGTCCCACTGACGGGAGTCATCAGCCATGGCAAGTTCGGGTATCCCGCATCCGCCAGCAGATACCTACCGACCGCACGTCCATCAGGCAGCACCTCCGCACCCATCCCAAGAACCCCACTCTGCTGTTGTGCCTTTCGATACAAAGGAGACGTTCGGAGCACGAGGCTACCCTGGACGGAGCCCGGGCAACCGACATAGACACTGACAATTTGACACTCATGGTCGCACACGACATGCACGACTACAGAGAATTGGTCATTCCTGTCGTAATAGCACTCTCCACGCTCGTTCCTAGGTTTCTCAATGTACACGTGTGTGCAGTTGATTGCTCCTACACACCCAGTGAAACCCTTCCTCTCAAACACGTCCAAAGTCTCTTGCAACTTGTCGCCGGTGGGGAACTGAAGCAAATGTCCATACCCATTGATGAGCACATCCGTGACATCCTCATTGCTCCTCATGGCACTCATCAAACCCAGCCCCAAACCATGAGCTGTCTGCCTGTAGAAACCGCCAGTCCCCCACCTGATAAGCCCGCATGCGAACTTCTGCCCTGCAGACACTGGTTGCCACCAGTTCGTTGCTTGCCACTGGATATGTGGGCCGATGTGACAAAAGATGTCGTTGAACAAAGGCCTAGGCAGTCTGCAGAAGATGTCGTTGAACAAAGGCCTAGGCAGTCTGCAGAAGCGCTGGAAAACTTTATCGTGCCTGCCTCCCACCTTCTGCAGGTCATCCCATACTGCTACACTACCAAGTCAACACCCCGATCCACTGCCGGCTGTCCATCTGTTTCTTGAATGCAGTGGCCGCCATGCGTGTCAACGACATGCTGTGCAAGACCGCCCCTGAGAAGGAAGACGGCGGAACACACGCCGGGTGCATTCACCGGCAACGCAGCGGCTGCCTGGGGCACGGCCATGGCCACCACGTCCTCCGGTTCATCCACTGGAGCAGGATGAAAACCAGTAGGAACGTGGAGTCGTCCCGGTCGTTGGCAATGTCGGACATGGCTGCCGACTCTCCTGAACCAGGATGCACACACGAGTTCACAGCTCACACAGCAGGGAATTCGTGGACGATGTGGGTGGATGGCCGTCAGTGTCGGTGAAACAAATGTCGTAATGCGATGACTCCGGCTTCCCGGCACTGCAAATACACCGCGTCCGCATTCCGGCCCAACTGTCATATGAACAATTCCTGGCACCATTCCCGGTACCCCCCAAGGATGATGGCAACAACACACGCTTTCACCCCGGTGCCGCACTAGTCCCCCAAACGCCGCCCAAAGTCGCCCTCTACCGGACGTTGGTGGTTCATACGCTCCACAGCTGGTCACTCGGACGAACCACCACTTTCCATTTCGGGACGGTCGACGGGCATGTTTCCTATTATGGAAAACTTTTTCAAGATTTTGTCGAGGAACTCCCTCCACAGTGGGGTCCCCCCAGAAGGCTTTCCAAACCTTCCAAAACTCTTCCAACGACCATTTGTTAAAACGTCTTTCCCAAAGGAATTCCAGTGGGGTCCAGGCCTAAGTCCCAGTTCCGGTCCTGAAGTCCCAACTCCCATGAACCATAGTACCCGTTCGTAGGTCGGTCAGCCGCATGCAGGCCACAAAAAAAATTCCTGAATTCGGTGTTTTTGCCAACTTTTTCGTTACTGGTCCAAATACATTGAAACTAATACAGATATAGTGCTCTTTGAGTTCTTTTTTTCCTTTTTTTTTGCCTGTTTGGTTTTCTGATGTTTGTATTATGAGCCTGCATAGTTTGTTCGCAAAATTTTTGACGACATTGCGTGTAGTGATGCGGCGAAAACCCCCAAATTTTGGGCTCTTCCACTGACGATCTCTCGTCTTGTCAGTCCGCTCAGTCCAGTCAGCAGCGCAGTCCAAGTAAAGCCAGCACACGTCCAGATGTGTCAGAGGCTGACCACATCAAAGCAAAGGTGCCAGTCCGGAAAGGTCTTTTTATTTTATTTTTCTCCCGGAGGTCCAAGATTGGGAGCTAAGCACAGAACGAAAGTCCAGCAGCAGGAAGCGTTGTTGTGGTCTTCTGCAATCAAGCGTTGAGTGAGACTGAAGTGTCCAGTAGTCAATGAAAAGCACCCAGCACCATAGCTTAGCTTGAGGGAGAGAGGCCGAGGGAAGGGACGACATTCAGACAGACAGACACAGACACAGAGAGAGAGAGAGTGGGAGAGAGAGAGAGAGGAGGGCCTAATCGTAGGACATAACACGAGTGAGAGAGAGAGGGAGATTATTAGCTTGTTGTTGCTGGGCTGTGGCCATAGCCCCGAGTGTACGAACATGTATCATGTTGAATAAGACATCGATTCTGGAACTGTTCAAAGTTCTCATATCTTGCGTGTGAGCTGGGTGTGAATTCATGAGCTACAGATGCTGTGTGAGTCGTTGGGATCACTGCAATCGGTACTGGAGCGGACTCTTATTGGCACGGAATTGAGATATCGTAGTGGAAGCGAACTCGGTATAGTATGATATGGCCAGTAAATACCAGAAGCTTCTACAAGGGTCGCGAGTGCAGGTGGTGTAGTTGTGCGTGTAGAGGAGTCCCTTCCCATTCACAAGCCGATGAGGCAAAGGTTTGGAAGACAGGTTTGTGACTGCATTGTTAGTGGTTTGGAAGACAGGTTTGTGGAGACGGCATTGTTGGTGGAGACTGCACTCCACCCCTACGTGCTAAGTGGAAGTGTAGCCACACCTCTTTGGTGGGAAGGGCAGTAACTATCAACCATGCAACCCTGGCATTCATATTCATCTGGGATGAAGTAGCCTTTCAGTCTTTGGGGAAAAAAAAACAATTGTGCAGAATGAAGAGATCTGTCTCAACTCTAGTAAGGGTGAGGAGGTTGGTGCCTTGTACTGCTCTAGTTGCCCAGGTAAATCTGACAGCCCAACAGCTGAGGGGTGTAAAGTCCGAGATGGGCCCGTTAGGGTGTAGGGGTTGAGCTGGATCGACACTAAGACGCCGAGCTGCACGGCCCCAGCCTTGCAGAAAGTTTTTTTTGTCGCCACAAGCAAAACTCAGAGGCGCCGTGCAGCCAGGCCCACCGTTGAAAAAAGAAATCGGCGGCCTCCAAAGTGGTGCCGGTTTCGTGCTGACACCGGCGGGCCGATTTGTGGTGAATCCCACGGCCAAGTAGCAGCTAGACCTCCCTTAGATAAGCTATGAAGAGCAAACAGATGGCATAGAAGTCAAACCATAGAACTCAAACCAGCATTCAGTTCAAAAGTCAGTCGTGTAGGCTAAGGTAGGCAGGGGCCAGGGGTGGTACATGCTTGCCTTGGGAAGTAATCAATGTCGTCCAGTCGGGCCTATCAACCGTAACGGGGAGGAGCGTGCGTGAGTATATATACTTGTAATCCTTTCTGACTTGTGCGTGAGTTTATATACTTGTAATCCTTTCTGACTTGCCGGTGGAATAGGAACCGGACTGCTGCTCCCCAGAATGGAAAGGAGCCAGAACCGCAAGGTTCTATTTAGGTGAAAAAAAAAAAAAAAAAAGATCTGTCTCGACGTTTTTTGTTGACAGATGAACACGAACAAGACTCATGCTTACTCCACTTCGCGGGGCTAGGTCCCACTTGCACTGATTAAGAGATTCTGGCCGTTGACCTTTGCGATCTACGGTCAATATCGCTTAATTCGTGTAAGTCGGACCTACATGTAGCCCCCGGTGACTGCTGGGCCTACCCGCCCCTTCCCTTCGCCTACTGGTTCCCAAACACAGGCAGTAACAGCGTGACAAACTGTGATCTTCCTACCAATCTTCTTCCCCCGAATACAACGTACGGTCATTATAACTGCATTGGAGCGATCTTTCAGTCTAGATACGGCTATGATGACCGTGCGTTGTATTCGCGGGAAGACGGCAGGACCGGACCTACCAAGACCTGGGGCGAGGTCCCACCAGCAAAGAGTATTGGGTGAATATCCTGAATCTAGACGTGTTTTAACCAGAGATGCAGAAAAGCAGTTGGATCTCGATTTTCTGCACATTTCCACGAACAAGTCCAGATTCAGGCGCTCAATCCAATCCTCTTTGCTAGTGGGACCTCGACCCTGGGCTGGTCAACATTCAGAGGCTGGTATCGTCATTCCATCTCCCGCTGACACTGGACCATCGCCTCGTAGAATGTTCGATGGCGCTCCACATCTGGCGGTGGCGTGCGCTGCTAAACCCGGGTTTTCCATATCGAATTCATTTTACTTCCCGCGGTGTGCTTTCCGAAAACGAATGTTTGGGCACGTCGCGCGCCCTTGTCAACACAAAGAAAAGAAAAAAAAACGTGTGGACGGTTGGAGTGGCGCCCTGCTATCCAAGCGATTTGGCACGTGTATAGTGTACAGTAAGTGGAGCGATGCCGACCTCTCCAAATTCGGAGAGTGTATAGTAGTGGAGCGAGACCCATAGAGAGCGAAACAGCATACAGTAACAACCAGTTTCACTGTGGCATCCTTTTGCCCTTCTTTTTTTCACTGTGCCCTTCTTTTACCCTTCTTTTTTCCCCCTGACGTCTTCGGTGCTTTGCTACTTGCCAAAAAATTTCACATTGATTTCAAGATTGCACACCTAGATGACGGCTGTGCGACAAGAAATGCACACGTAGGTGACAGGGGTGTGACAACCCATACACCACAAATGGGGCCGCAGATGCAATAGGCAGCATCGCTATTGCATTGCTGCTATTCCACTCTCGCTATAGCGACTGGAATAGTCTGTAAGCCATGCAGAGGTCAGAAGCTAAAAGTTGTAAAAAAAAAAAAAAAAAAAAAAAAAAAAAAAAAAAAAAAAAAAAAAAAAAAAAAAAAAAAAAAAAANAAAAAAAAAAAAAAAAAAAAAAAAAAAGGAAACTAGAAGACTATCGCCATGATGACATTGATGAGGTGGATGGCAACAGGCAACAGGACAAAAAAATCAACAAAAGACCCAAGAGCAGTGGGTACACCCATGAACTGTCGAAAATACAGACCTGTGTTCGAATCCAGATGACGGAAGTTGATGAAAAAACAAAAAAAAAAAAAAAAAATCAACAAAAGATGCATCAATACGGTCGCATCGTGAGAACTGAAGCAATCAAAGACGGGTATGCTGTCGCGCGCATTTGTGTGACAATCATAATTACAGGAACAAGCACACAGACACCCGCTTGCGCGGCACTAATTTACCATAGGAGAAAGTGCGTAAAAAGCCCGATCAGCTTTGAAAATGCAAAACTAGCCCGGTCAGGATGCACCTGGACGCGCAGATGACCAAGTGCATGATTGCGTAAAAAGCCCGATCAGCTTTGAAAAATGCCAAAACCAGTCCTGTCAGGATGCACCTGGATGCGCAGATGCCCAAGTGCATGATCCTGTCAGGATGCACCTGGATGCGCAGATGCCCAAGTGCATGATCGGCACCTGGACGTGATATGCCCACGTGTCTTCGGACTGTGCTTGTTTTGTACTTCAGAACGTAAACGGGCTATTCCTGTCGTTCAGCCTTGCACATTCTTTGCTTACGGTCTGAGAATACACGTCAAACTAACGGGAAAAGAAAGAAAGAAAGAAAGAAAGAAAGAAAGAAAGAAAGAAAGAAAAAGAAAGAATAAAAGAAGGAAAGAAAGAAAACAAAACAAAAAAAGATATACCCAGTGCGCTACCTGTAAAACAAGGACGGTCGCCATTCCTTCAGCTCATGCCCTCCACTCCTGATGATACTGTTCCATACATGTACGCCAACGAAGGAGGGAAAAGGTGGTGGGGGCGGAGGCGGGGGGGGATGGGGGGGGGGGGCAGGCGAGGAGAAGGCGGGGGGGGGAGGCGAGCAAGGGAAGAGGGAAATGCAGTAGGACCAACGAGCTTAGCTCAGTTGGTACCACCACGAACTACTGAAATACAGACCCAAGTTCGAATCCTGACTGACCTAGAGGGATGGAAATGAAATAATCCTGAGTCACTTGGGGCCGGTCACTTCGATGATGATATTTCAAGGCCGTCGCCAAAAAGCAAGGGGAAGGGAGATGGGGGAGAAAAGGAATAGGGCACAGCAGAAGAGAGGGAGGGAGGCAAGGGGAAATGGAGGAGGAGGGGGATGGACGGATGAATGGGAAGGAGGGAGGGAGGGACGGACGGATCTGGATTGAAAACGATCATTGGCTGACCGGCAAGCAGAACTCGCCCAGTTTGGGGTTGGGAGGAGAATGGAGAAAACGAACGAACCCGTAAGTGATCGAGCACCGATCGCGCGGAATTCAGAGAAATGCCGCGCTCCTCCGAAGCCCCTCCGCAGATCACGCCTACGCGCAACACTCCGAGTTTCCGCCCGTCTTCCGCTCCCAAACCCGATGCTGATGATGTCGGTACCGCAGTCGATGCCGACAACAATGGGCCGGCTGCGCCAGCGGCGGAATCGCCGATCTCCGCCTGCGGCGCTTCGTTCTCTCGCGAACCATGCGCTCTGCACATGCGCATGCGCACGCCCCAACCCACCCCGCCGCCCTGGCGCAGCCTGATCGGATTCCCCAGCCTTTCCCTTCCTACATACTCCCCCTCGACCTCAACCTGACCCCCCAAAACACCACATTCTAGGCAAATCCCGTTTGCGACCGCTTTCCGCCGGCACATGCGCGCCCCTCTGGCCATCTTCCCAGTTCCCACATTTCCCGCCATTCCCCAATGACAGTGCCCCGCTGCTGACGGGCGCTGAATCCCCTTCCCCCCCCCCCATTCCCCATTTCCCCCCGCTCTCCAGGCGGCAGTTCCCCGCTGGCCACTCAAGGAGCATGATGCCAAGGCCCGTACCTCACCCATCCTCCGCATAAATCTCCGCCGCCCCACTTGATTCCTCAGTGACCCGATCCCGAACACCCTCGGCGAGACATCAGCCGCCACGTCAGCTGCATCTACGGATCCAGGGCTCGGGACGAAGTGGGGGGAGGTCTCCCACAGCCGATAACACCTCTCGCCAACATCACTCTTGATGCTTCCTTTGGCCCCCATGATGGCCGCGCTCGCTGCCCTCGTCGTCTGTCCATTGCAAATTGCACGCACACTTGACACCTGTCTCGTCCATGTCATGATCCCGCCATTCGTCTCCACCATAGCCTCAACATAGTATCTTCCTGTCGTGCCAGCAGACATAGCTGGCATGCTCACCATCCCTCCTCCTAAATCGCGTACCACCTGCACTGTCATTTCCCGCTGCCCCCAGTCGCGATGATCGATGCACTCTCTCTCCTCTACCGTCGCAACTGGATACGGCTCACCGGCTACAAAAGGTAGGTGGATCTCGACATCATCGCAGCAGCGCTGTTAAAACCTGTGCTGTGATGTCTCGGATCGTTGCCGGTTTCTGTGACGACTAGGCTCGTTGCCACGTGTTTTGAGGTGTCTGGGATCGTTGCCACATCTTCTGTGATATCTAGGGTCGCCACGATGTGTATGCGATACACTATATGCCCACGGTGATATCTAGGGTCGCTACGATGTGTAAGCTGCTATGCACAAGCAGATTATTTTTGTTCGCGCTTCCAAAAGCAGCACGTGCAGCAATCCGAGCCCTTGTGGATGGCTGCCCATGAAATCTCTAGGGGACAAACGACAAATAGAGCGGAGGGAAGTCGTGCGGCTGCCCGAAGACAAGCCCCCGATGTGACACTTGTTGGGCGTTGAGGAGGAGGACATACGGCCTCCCCACACCACTCACCGAACGCACAAAATGCGGATGTATGTTCCCAGGGAACGCCGAGAAATACGCTCGCGATGTTTTTGTCTTTTTCACATTTGGAGGGGTCCGGCGAGGCCCATACGCTCAGGTGCTGGTAGCGGCCAGGACAGAAACATTTTTTGTTTTTTTGTTTTTTTCTTTTTTTTTCTATTTGTGGGGAGCTGGCATCGAAGGGAGGACTCAAGGTGGTTGAATGTTTTCTTTTTTTTCTTTTTTTTTAAATCAAGGCTCCATTCTATTTGTGGGGAGCTGGCATCGAAGGGAGGACTCAAGGTGGTTGAATGGTCCAAGCATCCTGAGTAAGAGAGGTGGAGAGAGACCTTCGTCCTGGGTGGGCAGAGGGCGGACACAGCTGCATAGAGGCGCGTAGAATAGAGGTGGCGGATCCTTAGTGCAAGAACTTGGTGTTGGGTGAAGAGGTGGTGGAGTCAAATGACGGAGGCAGGAGGTACCTCTCCCTCACATAACTAAGGGTAGGAGAAGAAATTCAGTGGTCCGAGTCATTGGTTCAATGGGGCGACTACAAGGTTGAAGATACATGGATCAGCATGGTGGAGGAGATAGAAGCCGAAGAGGATCAGGGAGAGACGTTTGGGCAGAGGGTGAGTAGGGGACACTTTGGCCTTCTTGCTTTTCTTTTTTTTTTTTTTCTTTTTTTTTTTTTTCTCGCTTTTCTTTCCCTCCCCCCCCAATGGAATACTGGAGGTTCCCCCCCCCCCGTGAGGAAAGGATCAAGCCATGATCTCCTAATCTTTGATTGGTACCGTATTCTTGATACCGTCGGCTGCCAAATCCGCTATCACCAACAGATAGTGGTGGAGAGGGAGAATGGTAATAGGGATGGAAGGAGGGACGGGAGGAGGGGGAGGGGGACAGGTACCCCCACCTTGCCCCCCAGAAACCAACTTCTGGGCCATGGAAGACAGAGCCCGGCACTCTATAGAACAGTGCTATGACGAGGGGGTAGGTCAATTAGTAGAGAATGTGGGAAAAGTGGTGATTGACGAGAGAGGGAAGAGGTTCAGAGTAAATGAATCCTTCTATGCAATCAAAGAGAGGTGGCTAAAGGGAAGAACAGTCATCTTTATTTTCCAAGACGAGGTGAGAGACTTGAGCAGAAGTGTGAAAGAGGACCTAGTTCGAGCTCATGAAGATGGGTGGATGGCCAGACGGCTTTTTAAGCCGGAAGTCAGAAGAGGAAGGATAAAATTCGAAAGCCCGAATGTGATTTCATATGTGGCAAAAGCTGTCGAAGTGGCCCATTGGTTAATTCAGAGAGGGATGGTCAAGCTAGGATTGGGTGGGAAAGAATATTCAGTCTTGGTCAAACCTTGGATGACTAAGATGGAGCTTAAAGATTGGAAGTTGAGGGAGGCGGAAACAAATTTTTGGATTGTGGCGCTGAGAGTCCCCTTGGATGCCATGTGGTACTTACCTTCGGCTGCTGAAGGACTCATTGCTGGAGTATTGCAGATGCACCCCCCAGAAGCGGACAGATCGAAACCGAAGTTGATGAACATTAAAATTGACATGGGCCCCCAAGCCCGGTTCAGAGTGGAGAATTCGCTGACAATTGAATCCCCGAAGGGGGAATTGTGGACAGTGGAGGTGACCACCCCGTATTCAGACTGGTGCAAACGCTGCAGATGGTATTTCCATATGGAGGATAACTGCCCGAGGTAGTCTTTTGCAGGTCCAAGGCGTACTTGGGCAAACTCGAGGCTCCCGCCACAGCATCCTCAAGCACACTCTTCTCAAGGTCGCCAGCAGGGCCAACAGCGTCAGGCTCCAATTCAGAGCATCAAGCTTCGGCCCAACCCCACACCAATCAGGTCCCTGCACCTGTGCAGGAGGTACTCACTCAAGACTGACCCTGCAGCATCAGCAGGCTGAAGCGCTGGGCACGGGTACACCTTCACATCCGGGATCTCAGAGATGTCCACAGAACTGGACGGGTTCACCACCAGCTGTCTACACGGAACAGGTCCCGGTTCAGTATTACGAAGACCAGGGTCAGGCGTTTCAACCACCACCTTATGTACCACAGATGAGAAACTTTGTTTTGTCGAGGGTTGGTACGGCGGTAGAGCTGTATGGACCAGCTCCGCTTCAGCAAGTGGGCTACCAGCAACAATACACTGCAGGTACCAGATCCATGCAGGCCCAGGGTGGTGGGGAGTCACCAGGGTCCCAGGGTGTCTACGGCACCCCCACAGTTATTCGAACAATACCAGTGAGGCCGCAGCAGGTGTTAGTAAACAAGGGTGTTGAGACACCTCTCGCAGCTTACCATAGAGGGCGTCAAGGGGAAGGCCTGAGCCACTCGAGAATGGGACAGCTGGCGGCCCAGGATTGGGACAGTCGATATGGGACCAGGGAGCAAAGGGGAGGGCACATAGATCCAAGGGGAGGAGCACAAGGAGGGCTAGACCAGGATTTGGGTAGTCATTCAACCTCCTCAAGGTCCATAGTAGTCCCCCACGCCACGACCTGGTCATGCAGTCGTAGGCACGTCCTTCCTTCCTTCTCCCTCCACCCCGACACAATCACGGTTATCGTGCACAGATGCAAAGGCTATAAATCCCGCAAGCGCTATTAACTTGCTCTCTAATGAGACTTGAAGTTAGCGCGGTCGAGAGGATCGGCTAACGGGCAGGAGCAGAAAGGTGAGTGAGGAGTTGGGTGATCCGACGGGCTGGCGCTGAGTATGCGGGGTTGACGTGTGGCTGCGAAGGACTGTCGCACACGGGCGAACCTGGCTTGCATTCTCAGGCTAAGCGGGGTGACAACTTCGGGTTGATAGTAGGTGCGAGGCGACTGACTGCCCGCATCGGGAGGGAGGGTGAGAGAGAAAGGGAGCAAAGGGTTGGTGGTGTGGTGTATTTTTCTTCAACTCTCTGTATAATTTTGATTTTCGGCTACGATCGGTTTTTGCATACGATTATATTTCAGATTTGTTGTTTATTAAATATGGATGCATGAGTCTGTCTCTTCTCCCTCATTTCTTCGCTCCCCTTGGTGTGTTTCGATCTATATGATGCTATTTTTGAAATGCTCGCTGATCAGGAGTAGATTTTTGGAATTGGTCCGGGTAAAACCCGCAGGCGTGGTCTGGTTAGATCTGTCGATGCATGTATGAATGAACTTTTGTGTAATGGTTGCATGCGCATGGAATCCGCCATCTCGTCTCGCTCGCAGAGGTTGATTGATCAGGGGGGAGGGGGGGGGGGTGCCTTCATCGCCAACATGCGCCACCAGTCAGAATGCATTATGAGTGCGCGCATATATGAGCGATTGATGCAATCGTCCCCCATGCGCGCATCCACACAAGTCATCCCAGCCTGGTTACACGTAGGTACTGCTGGAACACCCAAACCTGTTGGTAGGCGGTAGGAACTGTGAGTCGGAAAATTGCGGCTCTCGAAGATAGGATTTAGAGACACTGCGGGATCACTCATGTGCACACGCGCATACTAGTGACCGTCGAATAAGATAGCCATCATGGATGCGCGTATCAGCAGGAGTCCCTCCCGACCGAACCATTATCGGGTCATATGGTTGGCAAGCGCAGAAGGGAGAATGAACGTCGAGGTCCCTTTTCGAGTCACTGAGCGCGAGGCTTTGAGAGATCCTGGGTTCGAGGAGTGTTGGTTTAAACACGCGAAGAACGTGGCCCGTGCAACATGAATTCAGAGTGATTGGCCCGCAACCCCATGCTCGAACTGCCAACAGGGCATTGCTTCGCAACCTAAGGCTGTGGCCGACGGCGTTGGATTCTGAGAACTACGACGCCCGCAGGCGACTCGTGTTCGAATAAAGAGACAGCCATGATATCATGTCCGAACATCGAGTCAGGACCAGGCCCCGAAGGCAAGGCCGACGGTTCTAAAAGAAAACGAGGTGTTGAACCCGCCTCTTCGTCGGATCATTTGTACTCTTATCCCTGAAATCTTGACACCAGAGATTTCAGTTATGACCTGGGACTCCACCACAATTGCCTAAAATCCTTGGCACACCCCTTTTTCACACTTCCCGTCCCACTATCACTCTGAAACAGGAAGTCGCGCTAGGCGTGAGGTTGGTATCGGAGCTAACACGTGTCAAAACTAAGGATTGACAAGTGACCCATCTCCTCCAGTCGACTAACCTGGCGAGTCCTAGACTATAGTAACCTGAAACCGCTCCGCTGGAAGACAGACGGATAACATGAATGCCAATCAGGCGCAAGGAGGGGCGAACCAGCCGAATCTGGCCCCCCCGCAGCTCCCACGTGTTTGCGCCTCTGCTGCCCCCCCCGATCTACACACACACAAACACACACACACACACACACACACACACACACACACACA